ACATGTAGCCTTGACATATTTTTTATAGTTTTTTTTAATGGTAAAAATTTTTACTCATTAAGAGGGGTCGTGCAGCTGGTAAGTAAATTTTATTTTTTATTTTTCCATTTAAACTATAAACAGTACATAATTTTAACAAGTATAACAACTCATTATTAATATTATTATGGAGAAAAGGTTACTAGTTTATATTTGTTGTTTTAGTTTATGTGCAATAATAAATGACTATTATTTGTAAAAGTAAACTTTCAACTTGTGTAACTGTGAGCACATCGCTTGTAACATGTAATTATACACAAATATTTCATTCAACGTGGCTGTAAATTTTGAGCATTTCACAAACACTGCGAATCGACTTTTATAAATGTGTTGTCTTAGATAGCCAAAGTTTGGTAAACATAAAAAAAAGTAGAAAACCAACTACGTTCATAAAGTTGAGCACCTTAATCTCATAATGTTTGATTAAGTTAAAAGCCTGATACACGAAGTTTCAGACGGGCATCATTAAGTTGAGCTTTGAAACAAGAACGTTAACATCCCTAATTTGCTGCTCTCTCTTTTATATTATTTTGAATTTTATTAACGCGATAATGAATATCAAATTAATAATATTAAATTCCCATTACATTTATGTATATTGGACTGTCAAAAGAGAGGTACGATGTATTCGATTTTATTTTTGTTATATATTATATTATTTTTGGTTTTCACCTTCTCGACTTATGTCGGCTTAAAAACATACCCCGTCCAGTAACCAACAGGAAAAAAGGTACATATGCCCCAGTATATTATTATTGTATTATTATTATATTTATATTATTGTATTATTACTTAAATATATATTGTATAATATATAACATCTCCCTTTTTATGGGGGTAAAATGTTCAACCATGCGAGCCTTAGCCAAGCATGGTTGACTTTAAATTATATATGAGGCCGATGACAATGATGAGAAAAGAAATTTTCTGACTATGCGGCAGGTATTGAGGATGACCGTTTTCTGTAGCAAATCTATTGTATAGGTAGGAATTTGTAAAATATCTAAATGCTTGCGAAGATTTTTGGCTACGATTCCTGTAGACGATAGTACTATGGTTATTATGTGGATGGTGTGCGCTTTCCATTGCTTCTAATATCAATTTCATGTGACTAGATGGCTGACACTGACTAGAGCTGACATGTCATAACATCGCCGCATGTTATTTGCCAAACTTCTAAGTATTTTTACTGAAGATGGCGTTCTCTCGACAGATTCCGCGAGATAAAATGAATTTCCATGGAATAGCGTAGATCAAAGTTAATTCTTCTACATATACAGTCAGCACCAAAAGTCAATTAACACGTTCAAATTTCCCTATCTAAATCTAAATGCCGATGCATACTTAGAAACTAATTTACATTACGAAATGAGTGGCTTTATGCTACTACCACCACAGAATTAATTTCGGTAGCTGTTTCGTACACAAATATACCATTACAATTTATGCGTTTGCTTCACAAAACCAAATGTAATTAACTCATTTCATGAAACCAGTATGGAGAAAATTTAATGCTTACAAAGTATGAACGATCTCAGTAATACTATATACTCTACGCCATTATTTTTAATCTTATCGGGCTATTGAAATTAGTGTAGTTAATTAATTTTATAATCCTTACTTATCCTTACCAAATATTATGAACGTGAAAATAAGTTTGTTTGTTTGTTACGTTATAGTGTCTTAACGGCTCAACTAATCCCTATGAAATTTGGTATACACGCACTATATAGGATCGAGAAAGATATAGGCTTTATATCCTACTTAGTAAATATATCTCAAGAGAATAGTAAAAACTAATGCTTGTCATGTCAAACTGTATATATTTGAAAGAATAGAAAAAAAGATTTCTTAAACCTTAACCTGCTTGCCTGCCACTAGTGCGTAAATTTGGATTTTTAAATATATGATCAGTTTAACGCCAGAATTGAATTAACATCTTAGAATGCAAAATATATGCAACGTTGTTAAACATTTCGTAAATTTAAATGTGAAAATATAATATTATTCCTAACTGTACTTAATATCTTAATGTAAAAATTGGTAAAGGTGTTTGGATTTGTATTATTCAGTCTCGTTTTGACAGGTATACGTATTTGAATTACGTTCGGTAAACTTTCTACATGTGGAATACTTTTATATAGCAAAGTTGTGGAAGTGAGAAGTCAATTTACAACTAGCCTGTAATAATTATTTGCAAAAAAATCACTTAATTCAAACAGTTATAATTATACTAAAAGTAAACTCTGCGATAGGTAGTAATGGAGAGACGAAATGACTAGCAGACTAAATACCCTCAAAATATATGAAAATTATATATAATGTTACTGTCTATATAATGAATTTCTATATATTTTTTGTTTTCAATTTATATTATTTTTTAAAATGTTTACTTTTTTAAATATAAATTAGTAGATTAAGAATTTTTTATACATACATATCCGCCAGGCATGTTTTCCATCCGAATAGGCAGAAACAATGCAATGCCAAAAGCCTCAATTTATTTATTGTTATAATAATAAAAATATTTCATAATAAATTGTTCTACAATTATTATTTTACTTCTACGAATATTGCTAAATAATCATATTTTCCTTAGAACGACCTGAATAGCAGGATTTAACAAAATCCTTTATAAATGACCTTCTACAGTGAGAAATAATACCACACGTCACACCTTATTTATTCTATAAAATATTCCCAATGTCCCTCTACCCATGTGTAAGGAACGTAATACGTGATCCTTATAAAGTATGGAATAGATTATAAACAGAATAAATATTTTATTTCTCGCTCTAGAAATATATTATTTCATTGATAGTTGTAAATATATACTAAAATAGGTACCTACAACTAACTATTATGAACATATGAAGAATTATAGTACATTACTGCAGCGGCCAGCAACTGAGGCATTGATGGACGAACGTGCAAATGTGGGCCGAGGCGTAGCCGAGTCACACATACGTGAGTCCATCAATGCCTAGTTGTGACCAAGGCTTGTATAGTACTTTTCTCAAACAATGCGCGGAAATCAAAAACACAATTTTACTTTTTAAGTTCAATGACGAATAACGAACAATAATAATTTTTCACGCGCCATAATGTTCGTTTGTTTTTTACCAATAAACAGCTTTCTATTTGCAAGCCAATTCAAAATTAAATTATATAAATTTCTATAAATTATAGTTACCTCCTTGGTAGCCATGTTTCGAAGGAAAAGGTCATTCCATTTTTAAATTACAGAACAGATATGGATTTTCATACAACTTTTGCCGGCATATTTTACAGTTATATATATATATATATATATATATATATATATATATATATATATATACATATATATATATATATATATATATATATATATATATATATATATATATATATATATATATATATATATATATATATATATATATATATATATATATATATATATATATATATATATATATATATATATATATATATATACACAGTTCGGTTAAAAAACTTCCATACGGTTGAAGTCTCCTAAAAGTAGAAGATTTTATTGACAATTATAAAAAAAATATAGATATTCTCATGATCCAGTTAAAATAGATAGAATATACCTGCTGAATTCTATATTTTCGTAAACTGTTCCCAAAGCAATACTTTATCATATCGTTACATGCTTTTTTACCGGTATCCAAACAAAATCAATAAATCAATCCAACCGAACTTTATTTTTGTTGTCAGTAGGAACAACTTGTTGATTTGCCTACATCAACAAGAGCTTCAATAAGGCAATTTTACTTGTTGCTACATCAATAGATCTTCTGAAAATATTTTACTATACTAGCTTTTTCACAAATAGCCTGTATGCTTATTTTTTTGTAACTTTATTATTACTTAGCCAATGATATATAACACTAGAGTTAACTCTATGGCGCGATTTCTCTTAACTTAATATTTAAATCTGATAGTTACGCTAAATTACTGTGTAATTACTGAAATTGTGTTAATCGACCAACATGAAATTTTTACTTAAAATTAAAAATTTAGTTCATACTGATTCTTAAAGTAGACTTTATAATTCAAATAATAAAATATATCTCTAAAATAATAAAATTCTTATTTTAGAGATATATTTCGAGACATTGAGTCTTAGAATCAAGCTTACTGTTAAATTTCTTATGTTAAAGGATTTTTATTATTTTTAATAAATTTACAGTCCTATAGGTCACGGTCGCCATTTTCCGTCAGGTGGACCGTCAGCTTGCCTTCCATTCTAAATTGCATTAAAAAAGTCTTAAAATTACGATACTTTACTAACTTTTAACGTTCAACAATTAATTCAATAGCAATATAAGAAAATAACGTTTTTCTAATCCTTTATTCTACGTATTTGATATTTGATGCAACAACAACAAGGTTTTTAATTAAGTAATTTTTCATAAACAGTTAAATATTTAAACGTTGATAAATTGAAAACTGTTTCTTCCATTTCTATGTTCAATTTACTACGAGTGAACAAAGTTTGTCACATTTTTAAACCCTACATATAAATTGTTTCATTGTCATTTTATTCTTTTAACATATTCGGCATAAAATACGGGGTTACAAAGCGATTATATTAATGATACTAAATAATTTTCGCCAAAGAACACAGTCAAAATCTTAAAATCATTTTAAAAACTTCCATATAGACTAAAATAGCCAAATCGATGCACGTCGACTAGTTGGGATCTTTTGTGCTTGCCCCTGCCTTATATTATCATATCATATGTTATATAATCCATATAGTCACATTGGTAATCGATAGTAACAATATGAAAGTTTCAAAATTATTTTCAGATACTTCTTTGGGAATATTCTTCAGTTTTATGATTCACTAGGTTTCAAATAACATTGTAGTGAGTATATGTCGTTCTTTTTATATTTTTAACTTAAGGAACTTATAAATACGAATTATATTATAAAAAAATGCTTACCTAAGATTGATGTCCTCGAGTATCTGACTCGGTAGTAAATCTAGCAGTTGCGTTACATTGAGATTAGCCCATTGTTCTTTTCCTATCAACTCACGCGTGCAGTTGAAGAAATTCTGGATATCCAGATCTGAGTCCATTGCACTCACTTCACTCACTTTTGTTTCACAAAATAACACATAACAACTACTCCTTCAATGTTCTTGGCATTGCTTCTCATAACACATTCTCTAGGTACACTGTTTCGTTATTACATTCCTATTCAGTTTCATATTTCAATACTAACATGCAAGTTATGACTATTATACTGTTAATATTAACTTTGTTAATACAATTGTTATTTTATTTTTTATATATTTTTTCTTATTCTTAAACATACTCATATTATAATATAATGCGAGTACCTATTGACTGCAAACTACACTTCAGAAAACAGGTATATTTAAGTAATATTAAAAAAAAAAAAAACAAATTAAGACATAATTAATATTCAACGATACTAAAAGTAAAAAAAAAAAACTATTAAAGTCCATTCAAAATCAATTACGAAATATATTAAAACTTCTTTCTTCTTGAAGATCAGTTAAAAAGAATTATAGATAGATAGACACTCTCTATTGTTTTCTCCAAAAGATTACATTAGTAAACTTATAAAAAAATTATATTACAATAAAAAGCAATCATGAGATTTATGAATATAGAGTGAAGATTAATTCCTGCCTATTGTGTAAGAGACTTGGCGTGACGATATAAATAGATAATTATGTTACCGTAGGTTACCATAAAGTCAATATCAAATTGGATAGAGATAGCTTTACATAATAACTAGCTAATGCCCGTAGTTTTACTAGCATGAATCAACGGCTTCTGCTTTTTAAAACGAATACTAACGAATAAATACGTACGTCTACTCTTTTTGTATCCAAAAAATGCTATATAATACACAGATAGAGATTTAAAGAACCACTATACGAAAAGGATATTAATTCATTAATATGTACGGTAACAATCAACGTAATATAAAGTAGAAAGTATTATAAAGATATTGGTAAACGCCGCAAGTATCTTAATTTATATGAAAATAAGGTTTTTCACTACTAAATTATTTCTATTAATCCTACAATTATAAAGTACAAGTTTCTGAGGATGTACTTACGTATAGTCCTGTTTTTGTTTTATATTTTTCATATCGGAGTCAATTAGATTTTAGGAAACAATTTAGACCTAAAAATTGACACGCGAAATAAAGTTCTAGTACGTATATTTACTTAAATCAATATCTGTATGTTTTGAAGATTGTTTTCATTTATTTTATATAATTATATATTAAAACACTTTTTTACATTACGATCAATTTATCATTCATTTTTTTAATTGCTTTTGCTTTCTATACCTATAATTAAATTATCATATAAACTTCCTACGACACCGTGTTTTCTTATCAGCTTAGAGCTCAGAAATAAGGCAATAATGGATTGCAAAGATAAGAATAATAATATATTTAACCTAAAAATGTACTAAAATAGAAACAAAATTGTTATACATAAGCATAACGTTATTTTATTATTTAAGGCATAGCATCTTGGCAACAAACTTGAAAGTGGAAAGACATTAATTAAAACAATACATCATGTATATGGCATATTAAAGGACAAAACAATAATTAATAGAAGCTGTTTTCAGTTACGTAAACGGCAGATGCCCAAAGTTTAAAATATATCAATATCGTCTATAGTAACTTACGTACGTACAGAATAAAGTCGACAACCCCATTCATCGGACTAAATATTTGCCTAAGAAACTTAGAAACTGCTTGATTAATTTTATTTAGCTTTTCTTCTTCACCCACGTAAATTTTTGTGTAGAGTTTAACTTTACTGACGAGGTCAGACATAATACATTTACAGTAATAATGTAAGAACGAGGCGAAGCGAGATACTCTCGAGTGATTTAAAAGTAAGAAATTTATTTTATTCTTAGAAAAATTTGAGAAATTATCAAGATTGATCGAGTGTGATAATAATCAGCGCAGACCAATAGAAAGTCATTAAAATTCAAATAATTTATGAAATTGAAAAATGTTATAGAATTAATTTTTATAAAACTCAGTTTTAAATATTCTGGAATATTTAATTTTTATTATATTCGCAAGAGTAATTTCTGGTAACAAAAGAAAAAACTATATACAATTTGAAACGACAAAGTCAATATCTGCAGTTTGTTGTAACAAGATTAAATATGCTACTATAATAGTACCTAGAATAAACTTGCCCTATGAGCATAAATCAATAGCATAATCGGTGTTATAATTTCATTTTTATGCATAAAAAGCGCGTTTCATTGAAACAAGTGCATACTTAATTTGATACGTAGATTACACGTATACGTACAGAATATAAAAACGATGAGATTTCGCAATTTCCTCCAAGTATATACGATACTCTATAGATTAAATTAACAATTCGTACCAAAAGCCCCATGATACAGCGATTTTCGTAGCGACCCTCGAAATTAGTCTGACCTAAATTCACTTGCATTTTTTTTTCATTTATAATCATCAGTTCGCATTTATATATTATTGATCGTTTTCAATACTAATTACATAAAAAAATTGTACATATTTTTTGGCTAACAAAAAATAATAAAAAAAAATTAAAAAGTTCTGACTGATTAAAAGTACCTATTACCCATCCTTACAAAAGATGCAATATAACAAACTATATAATATATAGCACATTATATAATAACTATATAGCATATTATGCTAGTTACAAAGAAATAGTTGTGGTCATATCTAATACAGCTAGCAACATGAATAAGTATAACTATATATAGCTCAATTTGATGTCTTGTATAGACTTAAAGGGATAAACCATTTATGTTATCGTTTCTCATGCCACTCACCGGAAATTCGACGGGACACAAGATAGCTACATTACATTATCTTTGTCACTAAACTAGAAGGTATTGTTATCGAATAGCCTCTAAATAGTATAGAGGTTTCTGCATATTATCAGGGCAATATTCAATGAGTATTAAATAAAGTTGTTATAGTTGATGTAATTGTTATACATATAATAACATATAACAAAAGAGATAGGGAGCGAAGGAAAACAAGCCACAATGCAATAATAGTCGCTATTCAAGGAGCTGAATTTTTTTTTTACATAAAATGAAAGTATAAACATGAAAATATACGAGTATACCACGTATAGGTGCTTTATCTATTATGCAAATTCGTATTCAATAAATATATTTAATAATAATATTATTAAATGTATTTCATCATCACCGTCATTATTACAGCCATTATCCGTCCACAGCTGGACATAGGTCTCCCCCAATAGAGTGCCATAAGGAACGGTTCTGAGCCATCTGCTTCTACTGACTCTCTGCAATGCATTTGAGGCCGTCACTTCGTCTAGTGGGGCTCCAGTATGTATTAAATATATTTACTATATATATGTATATATATATGTGTGTGTAGGTATGTGTATATATGTATTTATGTGTGTAAGTTTTTATTTATTTATGTATTAATGTTATATTATTATTTATGTACTTTTATTATTTACATATGAAGGTATATAAAGCTGTTTTTATTGTATTATATATAAAAAAAAATATTAGGTATTATTTAGTTTATCTTTAATTGTACGGTTATTACCCTTATATATTCTACAGTTTTCTTTCAACCTTTCAAAAGTTGACTGTAAGAGATCCCTTTATGGCATAAGTCCGCCATTGTATATTAAATTATTTGTCAGTATTCAATGTGAATTATGTACAATAAAGATTTTTCAATACAATACAATATAAATATATTTTAATATATATTCTTTATTGCACTTGTAAGTTACATATAAAATAATGTATTTATAAATGTTGTGAGTAAGGGTGGACTTATCTCTGACAGAGATCTCTTCTAGTCAACCCTTTTTGGTTTCCTTGTAGCCGTGTGTTTCAATTTAAATTTCCGTTAAGTCTCGACGGAATGCGATGCGAATCGATCACAAGATACACATACACACACACACACATCCACACACATACACACACACATCTGTCTGACACTGCCTGACACTTTATGTGATGGAATGCTATGAACATTTTTTTTGGATATACGTCAAAAAGTTCCAATTGTCATATCTTCCTACTTCTTGATGAGGAACATTATTATACGCCTTTTGTAGATTTTGATAAATATTAAACTTAAATGGCAGAGAAGAAAATTAGCATTAAAAATGTAGAAAATATAATACAAACAGATTTAATAAAATTATGTGTATCCTTATAGTTATCCCACTGTTTGTTCATTCATCCAATAAAGGGATTTTTTTTTTATACAACTTAGAATGGCAAACAAGCCGACGACCCACCTGATGGAAAGTGGTAACTGTTGCCTATAGAATATATATATTATCCTATATATTAGCATAATATCATGCTAGCCAAATGATTTGGTATAGAGTTTTACCTAAGGTTTTGGTATTTAATAATTGAATTTTAGATAAAGATAAACAGGTAAAAAAATATTAAATGTTAAGGTCTCATAACACCCTGTTTAGCATTTTATTTGTCCTTTGAACTGCTGTAACTGCTTATTAAAGGTAACTAATACAGAAAAATAACTTTTAATTACTTTAATTATTTACTGATATAGTTTTTTTTTCTTAATAAAGAGGGTAACGAGCATGCGTCTCAACTGATGGTCAGTAACTACCACCGCCTACAAGGACATGCGACATCAGAGTAATAATAGGTGCGCTGGCGGTCTTTTTAAAAGCAAAATGCTCTTTCCTCTTCAAGGAATCGTAATACCGACTTACGACTTCATGAAGTCGTATCGGTTTGGAAAAATCGCTGCTAGGAGTTGATTCCAAAGTACGATTGTGTAATAATCTTTGTCTGTTTAATTACTATTAGAGGCCTGATCGCAAGCCTGGTATTTTTGGCTAGTATTAGTGGAAGTCTATATACATATTGTAAAATAGCTAGACTCTCTATAAGTCAATTACTTTAAGATTACAAAAATATTACTCTATCAGGCCAAATGTTGAGTATATTATATGTAATACAATATACTTTTGAAAACAAATTAACATTTTTAAGACAGAAAGTATCACGACCAGTTTAAATATTATTATATTTTTCTACAGTTAAATCGTATGTTCATTAGTTCTATAGTTGTATTAATCCAAAACATTAGTTCCTGGATGGAGTAAAAACATACATCTTTTATAATGCACTAACTATTTTAGATTGCAGTATATACCTAAAATATGTAACTGCATGTTATTCTCTAAG